TTATTTAACATGATAAATAACCTTAGAGCCATTAATTTATTTAATTACCTTATTTAACAAGGTAAGGATTATTTACATGGAACAATGTACTTGTTGAGTTTTGCATCTTCAAACTTATATTTCAATATTTTTCTGAACATTCTAAAAAATAATTTCTAGGGTGAAAATTTATTGGAAAGTTACTGACTGTTTCAATAATTTGGTGTGGTGTCTATTATAGCAGTCCACATCATAACTGATAAAAGCTCCATTTCGAGAACATAGATAGAGACAAACACATCTCCTCGTGTTTTGTTGTTTTTCATGAAACTGGTTCTCAGAATAAAACTGTGTTGAACTGTCTGATGTATCTGAGGTATCAAAACATGGTTCATTTACCTCTTCTTTCAGCTTATAAAATCTTCTACTTTACTATTATTATTAGTCTTAGACACAGAATTTATCTCAACACAGTTTGTGTATTTACTATTTTGTTTTATACAGTCTACTATTATTATTAGTCTTAGATACAGATTTTCATTCAACACAATTTGTGTATTTACTATACTGTCTTATACAGTCTACTATTGTTATTAGTCTTAAATACAGATTTTCATTCAACACAGTTTGTGTATTTACTATTCTGTCTTATACAGTCTACTATTGTTATTAGTCTTAGACGCAGATTTTCTCTCAACACAGTTTGTGTATTTACTATACTGTCTTATACAGTCTACTATTGTTATTAGTCTTAGACACAGATTTTCTCTCAACACAGTTTGTGTATTTACTATTTTGTCTTATACAGTAAACTGTGTTGAGAGAAAATCTGTATCTAAGACTAATAACAATAGTAGACTGTATAAGACAGAATAGTAAATACACAAACTGTGTTGAGAGAAAATCTGTGTCTAAGACTAATAACAATAGTAGACTGTATAAGACAGTATAGTAAATACACAAACTGTGTTGAGAGAAAATCTGTGTCTAAGACTAATAACAATAGTAGACTGTATAAGACAGAATAGTAAATACACAAACTGTGTTGAATGAAAATCTGTATCTAAAACTAACAACAATAGTAGGCTGTATAAGACAGAATAGTAAATACACAAACTGTGTTGAGATAAATTCTGTGTCTAAGACTAATAACAATAGTAGACTGTATAAGACAGTATAGTAAATACACAAATTGTGTTGAATGAAAATCTGTATCTAAGACTAATAACAATAGTAAGTGTATTTACTATTCTGTCTTATACAATAGTAGACTGTATAAGACAGTATAGTAAATACACAAACTGTGTTGAGAGAAAATCTGTATCTAAGACTAATAACAATAGTAGACTATTATTAGTCTTAGATACAGATTTTCTCTCAACACAGTTTGTGTATTTACTATTCTGTCTTATACAGTCTACTATTGTTATTAGTCTTAGATACAGATTTTCTCTCAACACAGTTTGTGTATTTATTATACTGTCGTATACAGTCTACTACTATTATTAGTCTTAGATACAGATTTTCATTCAACACAGTTTGTGTATTTACTATTCTGTCTTATACAGTCTACTATTATTGTTAGTCTTAGACACAGATTTTGTGTTTCAATATAGTAGGAGTATTCACTGTGTTAAATTTTCATTCTCTATGTTTATTGTTCATAGACATATTTCATCTCAGCACATTTGGATCCTTAATATTTTAGCATTGTGCAGAAACCAATGTTTTAACTCAAAGTTATGTGAAGAACAAAGGATTCACACATTTTAATGACAATACTGTTGTGTATCTGTTGTGTTTGTTAATTTCTGGTATAAATTCTTTCCGAGGAACTTCAGCAATACAAGTCCTTTCTTAACTAAAACTAGTTTATTCTTTCTTGATACAACTTTGTAATACACTAGATTTCCACCGTCACTTTAAACTTAACTACTTTTATAAACACAGGCTATAAATCACAGTGATTCACACACTTTACTTACGGTGCCTACTGTTTGCTTGACTGAATTATATCTCTCTATATCTATCTATCTATGCAATTCTATCATCGCTTTATTTTCTGGGCTTATATACTAAAAATAGAGGGTGCCTGGAACAAACTACAGTTGCCAGGAAAATTCATGATCTTTCCAAAATCTCATTACGTGTTACCAGCGTCATGTGACCTCTGCTGTCATAACAATACGTTATATGTATGATTCATTTAGTTTAGTTGGTTTTGATAGAAATAGCTTTCAAACTGTTATTGTAAGATATTTATACTCTGAACTTTTTGTAGCCTCATAGTGTGGTATACTTCATTGTATTTGATCAGCTAGAACTTTAAATAAGATTATTTGGAGATTGCTATTCTAATGTGACAAGTAATTGTCCGTAGGTATAAGACATAACTTTAAATCATGACAGTTAAGCAGTTTTAGCCTAATACCAAATATCGTTTGAATCTTAATTCTACACTAAAGTAGGTAAAAGCAAATTTTTACTTCAAAAATCTGTTTTCTGATTAACTGTCAATTGAATAGTTTTTTCCATCTCCACCAGGTTCATAACCTAGACCTATCACTGGATCGCTTCCGAACAGAACTTCATGCCTGTGCTGGACTCTTGCAGGACCCCAAGAAACTTAAAGAAAGTGTTAAAACTCTATACCAGAAGCATGTTCAAGATGTTCAGGTTTGTTTATTCTCCATTCTTTACTTTTTTGTTGATTAGAAATTAACAAACATGTTATCATATTGATTTGTAGGTGTATAACTTATGTTTCTTGTCAATACTATGTCTTCAGTTTGTGAATTCTGCTAGAAATCTTCACTTCTAATCTTTTCTCTACTTTTTTTTACCCAGACTGACAGAAGTGCTGAAGACTTTGACCTTCATGCCGAGTTCAGTCGACAGAGGGATCACTTGGAGAGATCCCTGGCTTCTCTAAGAAGAAAACTGTTGAAAGATACAAGTATTCACAGAACAGAATACACGAAGGTGATGCAGGTAACAGGATTTAGTGTGTGATGTCGTTTTATTGCAACTGATAAGTCTAAAGGGCTAGTAAGGAAACTAGTTTCAGATACAAATATTTCTTGTTCTGACTAGTGGCTTCCACCTGCAAAGTTGAAGTATCTTTACTTTTACCTGATTGAAGTGCAGTTTAAGGATGTAATGTAATAACAATCAGTGCTTGAAGTTAGAACCTAATCTAATGTTTTGGTGCATATTCAACAGAATATTTTAAGTTAAAAAGCTGTTACTACTGTTTTAGAAGTGTAGCCTTCCTTATAGTTTTAGATCTTGTACACAGAACTATTTTTTGGTGATAGTTAACTCTCCTGACCAACAGACAAACTCACATCTCTTCGAATTACTGTAGCTTTCAGAATGAAAAAATTTATTCCAAAACATACTTGTCTCCATTGGTCTGATTTTTTCTTGCTTGCTACAGTCTTTTATACCCCGATTAATTGCCCTTGTTGATATTTGTCTCTGACTATCTCCACCTACATCAGTATGCCCTCTATCCTGGTACTGTATATATGCACCCCATTCAGATAGGGTAATAACGTTTTCTCAACAAAGTGTTCACTAACAGGTTTCTTTGTGCTATGATTGTTAGGAGATACTTTCTTTGTGTTACCAGATTGATTTTCCTAAAAAGAAAATATATATATATTTTTGTTTGACAAACTGATATATGGCATGCATTCCCGGATTATTATTTGAGGCACAGAGGCAAATTGGGTCCTTCCTTTCCCACCTCTGACATCTAGCATTGCTAAACAATCAGGGAGGGGGGGGGGGGGGGAGGAGGGACACTCTCCATTGAGACTGTCATTGATTTTATTGTAGTGACATTGAGACATATGTTCAGTTTGGTAGTGTTCCTCCAAGGGGTTCATAGGTTGTAATTGAGAGCAATCCTGGACATTCTGGAGAAACTTTAGATTCACTTTTTCCTATGCCTTCTTTTATTCTGTTGGCTTCTCATGAGGCCACTTTGAGATAAGCTGTCTCAGACTCTTTTTCTCTTCAGTTGGTCCATCGAGTGTGTGATGTTTTGGGTCTTTCTTCAGTTATTTTTAAACCTGTACCTTACTTGATGGCTGAAAGGTCTGAGAGTGAATACTTAGTTTTCCCTCCATCCACAGATATTGTGGATCATGCAGAGAGGTTTACTGCTCAGCTACATGAAGAGACAGCTATGCCTTATTTGTCACAGTTGTCGCAACTTCGTGATTTAGTCTATCATCGCCAAGTGGAAGCATATTCTGACTCTTAAAGAATACATCTGCTCCTAGAAATTAGGGGTTGTAGAGTGAACTTTGTAGTTAACCTGAATAGATCAATGCCTCCTGGTTGGACAGTGGTAATTCTACAGACTTACAACTCTAAAGTCCATCATGTTGTTTTCCTAAAACTAAACTTTGTTGGAAGATTCTCAGGATCACCAAATCCATTGATGACGAGCTGGACCCATTGTTAACATGCACATTGGTTCTGTTGTCAGCTTCTACATTCATCCCTTTATTCGGTGTCTCAACTTCCATCTGCTCCTACAGGGGGGTCATAGTTCTGCCCTATTCGAGGGTCCCGTCCCCAAACATCAACCTCTCAGTCCATTGGTATCCAGAAGAGATTCTGCCCATATCCAAAGGTTCAGCTGCTCAGTCAGATTGCTGCCAATGGCATCGGTGATTATTGTATGCCGTCAGGGTCTTTGAGGGCTCGGCTCCAAGAATTTCTGGACATGTGGTAAACCTTAACCACGAATCCATAGGCACTACAGGTCCTTGAGTCATGATTGGTCATTCAGTTCACATCTTCACCATTATCCACCTAACCTGTAGGGTTTCCTTCTCCCACAGATCCTCGGATTTTGGAACTTAGTTTTCAGGGCTGTCAGAGTTTGGTTGGTCTGTGGCTAGAGAGAGAGAGTGTCATGCCAGTTCTTTCAGGGTTTTAATCCTGTCGGTTTGTTGGGCTCAAGAAGACAGGTGATTGGTGTCCAGTCGTCAATCTTTCATCATGTCTATCAGTCGGGATCAGCTGACTCCCATCCGGTTCCACACTATGAAACAGGAAGCTCGACTTCTACTCACCTTTCTTTCTCCCATTGCATGGCTGTTTCTTTCTTTTTTGGGAATGTGGGCATTGCTCGAATCCCTCATGTTTTTGGGATGAGTGTACAAGAGATCCTTTCAATGGCCTTTATGCAACCAAGGGATCATAAACCATTGATTCACTGGATTCTCCAGTTTCCTTATTTCGGATCATTGTTTGATCTCGAGGGACTGTTAGATCGGGACAATACTAAGATATGGGTTCCTTTACTACCACCTAGTTCAGAGATCCATCTCTTCATGTATGCTTCACTTCATGAATGGGGTGCATATATCAACAGTCAAGAATTCCAGGGTTTACGCACAGACGATGAGGCTTCCCTACACAATATTTTAGACCTTCTTGCTCTTCCAAAGGCAATGCCTCATGTTCTGGGCTTATTAAGAGGAATCGTCAGGCTTCTCTCCGACAATTTCATGGTGGTGTCTTGCATTTCCCATCTATGAGGCACTTGATTCAGGGCTTCTTGTTTTCGAACCTTGGATCTTCTTTCTCGGGACCACTCTTATCATGTCACTCTACTAGCTTGCCATGTACCACAGATGATGACTGCAGCAGCAGATCAATTGTCTCTACTCCAACAGAATAGATGCTGCATTGCAAGGTTTTCTGTTGGATTGGCTCTGATTTTGGAACATCGATGATTGGTGGGTTGGCCACTCTTTGAAACACCCAACTGCAGGCGATTTAGTCTCCAATGCCTCACCCTTGGGCTTTGGTATTCCATCAGGACAGGATGGGATTACAACTTCCATCCAATTCTTATTTTACCCAAGATACTAAATATGACTTGTTCCAACCCATTGTCAGGTTCTGTTGATAGCACTGGATTGGCAGCTACTTCCTGGTTTATGCTTCTAAAATACCGTCAGGAGTGCTTACCTCTTCCACTTCCTCTTTCACCATCTCTGTGGAAGCAGCTCATGATCTGACATGGTACACCTAGCTATCCAGAAGCTCAAGCTTCAGACATGGAAGTTATGCAGACCTTTGCACAGTATCGGGGTTTAACTTCTAAAGTTGCCATGTGTCTCAATCTTTGCTTAGTCCTGCAATGGACATTTATAAACGAAAATGGCACACATATCAACAATGGTGTATTGAGAGGAGTTTGATCAGAAGTGCCAACCATAACTCGTTTTTTGACCTGGCTCTTTGGCTAGGGTTTTGCATCTTCCACAATCACCCTGTATGAGGCAGCCTTATCAACTACCACACAATACTCGGGACGAAAATTCTTTGAGTCCCCACTACTCTCTGGCTTCCTCAAGTTGGTTTGTGTCCTTTGCCTCAAACTACCATTCCAGTTACCTAACTTATATATTAAAGTTACATCACATGCCCTTTCTCGGCACCTTAGCCTCGTGTGTTATGTATCACCCTTCCCTGAATGTTTATTTTTCATTGGTGATGACCTAGACATTGCCAGTGAGAGTGCTTGTGCTGATTGTGCACAGGACACTTTATCATTCTACCTACGTCTTCACCAAGACACTGTCAAACAGGGAGTAGAATAAATCCTTTTCTCAGATTAATCTGATCACTATTTGACACTTTTCTGACCCATTAGGTTTCGATCATTTGTTATGTCCAGTTAGAGTCTTGAAGGTTTTGTTGCCCACATTAATGCCTTTATAGATTCTAGACAATGACTGTTTATTATTTGTTCTAATTTATTCTAATCCTGCTTAAAAGAATTTCAATTTGAGGGTAGGCTGGTAGGGTTACTGATGAATAATAAAATCACATTGGGTATAAGTGTGCCCCACACTTGGTATTGCTGGCATACAGAAATATAGCTAATAAAAAGGTCTCATAGATTAATTTACTCTAATTGTGCCTAAAAGAATTTCAAGGGCTGCAGCTATTGAGGATTCCCTCTTGTTTTTTTTAATTCTTGATTGGAATAGTCAGTATGAACTTGCAGTTTCAGGTAGTTACAACTACTGCTGCTGTGGGTTTCCCAACCACTACTATTAGGTTGAGTATGCAGTTACCGGCTGACGGCAACTGGGAAATGTGTATATTCATGCCTACTTCACTACCACACAAGGAATATCCTGTCGTGTTTGCTCCAGGGGTGTCTGACAGGGAGGACAAGAATTTTGACAGCCTATTCCACCCCCACCTCCTCAGCTATGCTTCCCATTCATAAGAGATATCAGGGATTTACCCAGACCTTCACCTTTTGTGGAATTCATTAATCAGGTTTGTACTGTCATATCCTTATCTCCTGTTTCCTATGATTCTCAACCTGCCCTCCTTGGTGAAGAATGTAGGAGCCAGTATTTAGTTTTCCCTCCCTCACCTGATGCTGGGGTTCATTCATGTCCAGGATTTTGGGGATTAACTTCGGTCAGATGTTAGTATGCTTCACCTACCTCGTACATCTAAAGGTCATGCTTATGCATTTCATAGATCTTACTTCCCTTGTCTTGATTCCCAACGTTTGGAATCTCTCATTACATTATGCATCGGTGAATTTCTCACAACCTCAATTTTCCTGTATCAGACTGATGTTGTCCACAATTCTATGTGCATTATCAACTATACACTTGCTGGCTCAGGCAATTCACTTGTCTCCTGAAGGGTTTTCAGATGATGTTCACAGTCTTCTGTTTACTACAACAGCACACCTTACATCTTTGGCCCTGGCTCTTCAGACTTAGCTGTTGGGATCTTCTAGGTTGGGCTGCCATTTTTTTCTTGAGTATATATACCCACTACTTTCCTTCGCAACTTGTGTATCACACCTTTTTTACATGAAGAGGTGTTTGGAGGTCTTTCTAACTCATTGGAGGCCCGAGTTGAGTCCGTTTGTCTGCATAATTCGTTATCCTCGTTAGCTTCCCATTTATCCCAACCTCCTCCTACTG